TTAATCATCACGTTATGTAACGGCAGAATTATCATTAATCATCACGTTATGTAACGGCAGGATTATCATTAATCATCACGTTATGTAACGGCAGAATTATCATTAATCATCACGTTATGTAACGGCAGGATTATCATTAATCATCACGTTATGTAACGGCAGAATTATCATTAATCATCACGTTATGTAACGGCAAGATTATCATTAATCATCACGTTATGTAACGGCAGAATTATCATTAATCATCACGTTATGTAACGGCAGAATATTCCAGTATGACACGATGATACGATTGTAATTATAAGTCTCCATTGAAAGAATAAGCTGTGAATAGGTTATCACTTTTAGTTTATGAAATTCGGCTTCTTTGTATTTAACATAGTACAAATTATCTTAAAGCAGCTACAAAAGCAGTTAATAACATATTTCAAATTAAATCACAATATCCTACAAGCTTAGTTTCATCAATTATATGAATTCAGCCGCATGTAGAATTTGGTATTTTCATCTCTGTATGTGTTACAAAAACACTGATATGTACACATTTCATATAAATATACCCGATTGTTGAGTTTTAATCCCTTTTGTTTGACTTCTAACAGTGTTACAAAAACACTGATATGTACACATTTCATATAAATATACCCGATTGTTGAGTTTTAATCCCTTTTGTTTGACTTCTAACATAATATCGAGCTGCATTTCAGATATTTTCGTAAATGTTACCCGCACATACACGTATGCTCGAACACATTTTTACCATAAGTTATTAATAAAGTGTGTAATTAGTCTTCCTAGGTTAACATAATTAAGATTGATTGGAACTTTTATTTATTTTATTTCCAACAGAGGGCATTATTTCCTACTCTATGCCTCAAGGAGAGAGGCGAGGCCTAGAACTTGACCTTTCTGACGACACTTACGACGGGGTTAAAGATGATAGCTATCTCAATGGCGGTCTGGGTCAACTGACAGACGGTGTCGAAGGCGACGACAATTTTAAGGCGGATGCTGACGGATATGGGAAAGGTTTGTTTGCCTAATTGTAAAATATACAATCAGCTACGTTAGAACAATAACTTTTTTACAATGTTCTGTTAAATATAAAGCGTACGGAATGTTCACGAAACGTTGTGTCTTCTGTAAACTGTTTAAAGTTTATTGTGGTGAAAGTTAAAACTGAAATTGTACGCATACACAGATCACCACCCATTTCGTTTTCATCTGTAAAGTTTGAATTGGAACATGTACTATTATGCTGCCATCTTGCGGATGCGATCTAACAAAGTCCACGTCTCCTAATTAATACTTCTTGGACACTCTGAAATATATACATACTAAAAAAGGATATTGATTGTTTTATGTAGGTTCGTGCACAACATTTTTGTTCGCCTTCATAGCTTTTCAATGGAATAACTCAAGTTGTGTCAACGCATCTGTTAAAGATTAGTTTCAGCTTGTTATTCGAGATCTAATTAATGCATTTTCTTTGCTACTGCATGAGCGTGTTTAGTCAATTTCTCAGTTTCTATCACTTTCAAATCAGACCCGGCATGGCCAGGTGGTTAGGGTGCTCGACTCGTCCACCAAATATGCTCGCCCTTTCAGCCGTGGGGGCGTTATAATGTGACGGTCAAGCCCACTATTCATTGGTAAAAGAGTAGCCCAAGAGTTGGCAGTGGGTGGTGATGACTAGCTGCTTTCCCTCTAGTTTTTCACTACTAAATTAGGGACGGCTAGCGCAGATGGCCCTCGTGTAGCTTTGCGCAAAATTCAAAAACAAACAAACAAGCACTTTCAAATCAATTCACCTTTTACTTGTGATCATGTTTTTGAATGAATGAATGTATATGTGCTTAGATTAGGCTTGCTGTGTATTCACTAATAACTATACCAACACATTTTCGCATCTAACTACTTATCTCTTTATTCATTTATTAATATTCATCGACATGAGTACTTTTAGTATCTGTACGTGTATTATTATCTGATTTTAGCCCTTAAACTAGTTATCTGGTCTTATATCTGCTCAGGTTATTTCCTTGCTATATACTAACTGTATTTTTTCTGCATATATCCCTGAATGTCCGGTTATCGATTTATTTTGCTACTTATCCCATTCTTCAGTTTGTTTTATTTTCAGCAACGATCCCGAGTAAAGTTCTTTTGCCAATTTCATAGAATTTATATTTTTCTGTCGCCAGGCTACGAGTGGGTGGGATGGAAAAACGACTCATCCTTTTCTAGGCCTCTTCAGATTGTATTTGCCTTCGACTCAGTTCGCAACTTTTCGTCTCTCTACTTCCACTGTAACAACATGTATACCAAAGATGTTCAGGTATTCGCCACGGCCAAACTCTGGTTCAGCATCGGAGGCAAGTACTATCCGAATGATCCCCTCCGCTTCTCCTACATGGCTGACACGTATAACGATAAGGCTCGGAACGTAACAATCTTCCTGCATCACCGGATTGGCAAGTTTGTAAAGGTCGAGTTAACATTCGCCTCGCGCTGGATTCTCATCAGTGAAGTCTCCTTTAGTTCCGGTGAGAAGATTAGTAACCGATACGAGCAGTCTTTTCCTGCAATATTTTCTTTATATTTACTAACCTATTATTGTATGCATACTTGTAACAGTTTGCTCATAAGACAGTTCTTGTAAGCTAGTGGTATGATAGAAAATTTCTCTCATTTATTCACTAGCCAAAACACCATTTCTACAGAATACATAATGATCAGTTGGTTTCAGTCTTGCTCCTATAACAGGTAGAAGACACAAGAATCACTGCGTCAGTTTTTTACAGCTAGGCCTAATAACGAAACCATTAGTTTCCACCAAGAGCTAAAAACCTCTTTGTAAACCACCAATATTTACTAATATATATACAGTTAAACCAAAACTACACATGTATTTAAGAAAAGAGAGAGAAAAAAGAGTAAGCAATTGGGTAATGCTATATTGATATTGGCATTTAATTTCTTTGTATGTATTAATATAACTAATTATCTACTCACGTCTACTCTGCTTATTACAAATTGTAGCTGATTTTGATTGATTTGGTTTACACGCACCAGCTAAACTACTAGATCTCCTCCATCCAATTATGGAGTCTTTTCGCAGCACGTTTGTCATTGCGCATTTCAGGAAGCGTGGCGCCATCTGTAGTTCAGAAACACAGACCACAAGGAAGCAATCGCCCGGTAGCAGCTATATTTACTTTTTTACTGTATTATTATTATTATCTATTATTGCGATTGTAAACATAATGCTTCCTTTATGGAAACACGCATAAGAATCTAAACATAACGTCTGTATCTACCGGTAGATATACTTTCAGCTTTTCGTAAAACAGTCATAATGCTATTCCGAAGTTAGTTTGAGTTTCAGAAGAATATAGTTCCTTATATAATCCATGAGAATTCATTAGTGTAAGTTATAACAAGCATGACGAACAACACTGGAGCACAGATCTCATTATTGTATTATTGTACAGGGAAATCAGAATTTTATGAGACAACAGCTGGAGTTATTGCAAGTAATCAACTTAATATTTAATGTGATATTTGGCAAAAACAACTCCAAGTTTTACAATGTTAACCTTGTCACCATAAACTCAGTATATTCTATGTATGATTACAAAACTATTTATATGAAATAGATGTTTTGCAACAATAAACTAATTTTAAGCGTTGTCGATCTTCTTATATTGCAACAAAATATGTATAGAAATAATTCAAATATCTATTTAAAAAAAATTTAAATATTAAATTAATACCCGTTTGTTTGGAATCAAAACCCGGTTTCTAGCGTTGTAAGTCAGCAGACATACCGCTGTGCCACTAGGGGGCAAATTAATACCCGTTTGTTTGGAATCAAAACCCGGTTGCTAGGGTTGTAAGTCAGCAGAGATACCGCTGTGCCACTAGGGGCAAATTAATACCCGTTTGTTTGGAATCAAAACCCGGTTGCTAGCGTTGTAAGTCAGCAGACATGCCGCTGTGCCACTAGGGGGCAAATTAATACCTACCGTACTCGGTAAATTTATCACTAACTCTACTTATTTGCAGCAATAATGGAAATCTAGACGAATCTATTTAGATTTGTAATTTTCCTTTATATCGCACACAAACTCCATTTCAAGCATTTCGTGTAATAACTAAATACAATAAAATGGCATTATATCAATATAAAGCTATTGATTATAAGATTATTGTTCTCTACGTAACGCCATATTTCGGAGTAATATTTATTGGAAAAAAAAAATCCACAGAATGATGTTTATCGCATTGTACTACTTTCTGTACACTACTTACTTAGAAGAAAATGATAGAAAGTATAGATTTTAAATATATTTTTCAAAAAAGTATTTAAAAAACATACGAAAATAATGTAAATATTGATATAATGTGTTAAAGTGTTTGAATAGATTGTAACTCATCCTATCATGAATGTTTCATTTAGGATGTGGTTATGGGCGCTCAACTCGCAATCTGCGGGTCGTGGGTTCGAATCCCTGTCACACCAAATATGCTCGCCATATCAGCCGTGGGGGCGTTATTATGTGACGGTCAATCCCACTATTCGTCGGTAAAAGAGTAGCCCAAGAGTTGGCGGTGGGTGGTGATGACTAGCTGCCTTCCCTCTAGTCTTACATTGCTAAATTAGCGCAGATAGCCCTCGTGTAGCTTTGCGCGAAATTCATAACAAACCAATCATTTAGAATAATACTTCTGGTTGGTGTTTCCTCGTGTGGTAATGTTGAAATATTATTTCCCTTTCTTAATTGAAACCAGATATTCACAAATACAAAAACAGAAATGTTTAACAATAAATTTATTTGCATAAGTTTATTGTGGGTTCAGGTCTTTAGGTATAGTAGTCTTTATGGTAAAATTATGAATTAGAAATAGCGAGTGAAAGAAATCTCAGAGATTAGTATGTTAACAGAAGTTACTGAGCGTGTCTGCAGCAGTGGAGTTTTCTGGAAATAGCCAGTAGGTGGCTTCTTTAGAGTATCCAAGAAAGGCAACCCATTTCTCATAAACTTTCAGTCAGAACGCTTTGGAACATTTAAACCTTTTTTTAATAAGTAATACTTTAGCTGTTTCTCAAATCCGACAACATCGTCTGTATAACTCCTGCTGGTCCGACACACACTGACTTCTGCTGGGCCAACACACACTGACCTCTGCTGGGCCAACACATATCAATTTTTATTGAGCCAACACACACTGACCTCTGCTGGGCCAACACAAATCAACTTTTACTGAACCAACACACACTGACTTTTGCTGGGCCAACACATATCAACTTTTACTGAGCCAACATACATTAACTTCTGCTGGACCAACACAAATTAACCACTACTAGGCCAACACATATCAACTTTTACTGAGCCAACATACATTAACTTCTGCTGGACCAACACAAATTAACCACTACTAGGCCAACACAAATCAACTTTTACTGAACCAACACACACTGACTTTTGCTGGGCCAACACATATCAACTTTTACTGAGCCAACATACATTAACTTCTGCTGGACCAACACAAATTAACCACTACTAGGCCAACACATATCAACTTTTACTGAGCCAACATACATTAACTCCTGCTGGACCAACACAAATTAACCACTACTTGGC